TTACTGGCTATATTTATTAACCTTTAAAAACCTATTAAATAACTTGCTCATTGTTCTTTGGGTTGTTTGCCTTTCTTAGTGGTTTCTGGTGCTTGCCCTTATGACCATCTTGCCTGTATTTTACTTGTTTCAGTGACTGACCCTGAGGCCTGTTATATTGGCACTGAGCCTTGGAAACCTAAGGAAGCTCTGGAGGAGAATGGTATTATTACCGACAAGGCAGACGTATTTGCCTTTGGCCTTACTCTGTGGGAAATGATGACTTTATCTATTCCACACATTAGTCTTCCAGATGATGATGATGATGAAGGTATAACTGCATATTTTTAACATAAATCCCAATCTTTTCAGTTTGAAGTAAAGAATAGCTTATAAAATTATATTTTCTCATTAAGTTAAAATTTAAAAGAGCAATTAGTTTGATTTAGTGGCACAAGATGTGGGTTATATTAATACTGATGATTAATTTGGTACCATCCTGGTTTAATCTCATACAAATGAGATGTAGAGTAAATGAGAATAGGGAGGTAAATTGAGAAAATCCAGAGGAGCAAAAAGTTACCTTAAAAACTCCCCTTGCCTGAGAAAATGATTGGAAAGCTACAGCAGTAAGAGGGTTGGGGTCAGTAGCTTTTAAATCCCTGACAGGGACTTCCCTGGATGTCCAGTGGTTAAGACTCTGTGCTTCCACTGCAGGGGACACAGGTTCGATCCCTGGTTGGGGAACTAAGATCCCACATGCCACGTGTGTGGCCAAAAAAAAAAAAAAAAAAAAAAAAATTCCCTGACAGTAGCTAATCTACACCATGGCAGGACAATTGAAGAGACTGCCTGTGTAAAATGAAAAGCATATTGGATGATGAATTCTTATTTCAGGAGAGTGAATTTGAGCAGTTGCTAAGCTTTTCCATGATTTAAAGTGATTTTGTTTCAATCTCCAACTCCTTCATGAGCAGATAAAACTTTTGATGAAAGTGACTTTGATGATGAAGCATACTATGCAGCTTTGGGAACTAGGCCACCTGTTAATATGGAAGAACTGGATGAATCGTACCAGAAAGCAATTGAGCTCTTCTCTGTATGCACTAATGAAGACCCTAAAGATCGTCCTTCTGCTGCGCACGTAGTTGACGCTTTGGAAATGGATGTCCTGTGATCACCTCATACTCATGACTACCGGAGCTTCAAGTATAGCTTGTGTGTATAGCTGTTCTGTTTACCATAATACATTTACATAGTTATTACGATGACCCATAATTATTAGACTTTTCAGAAGTGACCTATTTTAGGACCATAGATAGCACCTTTTTAACATTTGAACGACTATTTCTATTATAAAGGTATTTCATGTATGCTTATGCTAATAAGCATTTGAGATTATAGAGGGTTTTCTATAAAGTTTAAGAAACTAGCTACTCAAGTATTTGAACTTGTTTATACAGATTTAAAATAAAGTGCTGGGCTTCCCTGGTGGCGTAGTGGTTGAGAGTCTGCCTGCCGATGCAGGGGACACAGGTTCATGCCCCAGTCTGGGAGGATCCCACATGCCGCGGAGCGGCTGGGCCTGTGAGCCATGGCTGCTGAGCCTGCGCGTCCGGAGCCTGTGCTCCGCAACGGGAGAGGCCACAACAGTGAGAGGCCCGCGTACCACAAAAAAAATAAATAAATAAAAAATAAAAAAATAAAGTGCCGTAAACTCTAACATTAATTTGGATTCAGTGACTGTTACTTTTATTAATGATCTTTCTCAGATATTCTCTATTTTAATGTATCTATTGAAATTAGCACTTTGTGTATTACAAAATAGGTCTACATTTGCTTATCTTTTTTTTTTTTTTTTTTTTTTTTTTTGTGGTACGCAGGCCTCTCACTGTTGTGGCCTCTCCCATTGCGGAGCACAGGCTCCGGACGCCCAGGCTCAGCGGCCGTGGCTCACGGGCCTAGTCGCTCCGCGGCATGTGGGATCTTCCCAGACCGGGGCACGAACCCGTGTCCCCTGCATCGGCAGGCGGACTCTCAACCACTGCCCCACCAGGGAAGCCCTGCTTATCTTTTAAAACATTAAACCTTTTGCTGGCGTTTCTCGGCTGACGTGCTTATTAAATAAGGTCACTGAGACCAGAGACCTGGGATGTGGCTCAAAAGAGTAGCTCCTTGGATACTTCTAAACATTTTTGGTTAAGGCTTTTCTTGTTCTCTTGGCTCCAGCCATATCTTTGGGTTTTGCTTTAATTTATTAAATGTATTTTCTGTACTGATATCTTAAATTTTTTTTAAATTTACTAATCTGTACTTAAGCATATCACAGTATTGGTGTAAAAATAATAAAACTCTAATAGAACAATATAGAGTAAAGGACACTTTAGTTACCAGAAGGTGTATTATCTTATTTGGTACTCCATTGATTTGAATGTTGTCATTAAACTTACTGAGTGAAAGTGAGTAGGCTTCTTTCTCTTTCTTGGCCTTATTTTGTTAATCTGTAAAATGAGGGTGATTTGAAACATTAGTTTCTATCTGTGAGCCACAGTTCCCTGAGATTTTTCAGTTATTGAATTGTGCTTGTGAATCTAGGTGGTATGCGTAGACTAAAAATTACTGTCACATGGGGGATCTTAGAATAAGAACCACTGCTCTCTGAGATTTAAACAATTCTGGAATTCAATGGAGGGTTCCTTTTAGTATGAGATTTTATCAGGCAGTACTATACAGATCATTAATGGCTTATCTTCTATCAAAATAACATTAAAGTGCCAAGAAAGTAAATGGAAAACCAACTGATTTATGGAAAAATTTTACTTACGTACACTTGCATACTGACATCAGTTATCCTGACTAACTTATATGTTGTGTTGCTTCTCACTAGGTCTGCCAAGCTGACAAAGGAGTTTCTCTCTCTTAGCCTGTTCTCATGAACTGCAATGTTTAATACATAAACAAATACTTTTCCTTGAATAATTATTTCCAGTTCCTGTAGTTGGAATATCTAAATGGAAACAAACTAACACCCAAGGACTGGGCCGGCAAATTCATAGCACTTGTCTGTGGCAGACGTTACACAGTGATCCCAGCCTGCTTTTTCCTTTGAGTCTGGATAGGGCCTTGAGACCCTCAACACAAGGTTGCAGAGATTTTACTACCAACAGCAAGAAAACTTTTAAAATTCTTGTTCTGGAACTTGCTCTTTAAGTCTCTTCTTAAGTTACCTTCTCTTTTTTTGGTTATTTGCTTCATTCTTAGGAAAGATGTACGTGTGACTGGGTTGAGGATATAGCAATATTAATCTTTTTATTTTTATTATTTTTTTATTTTAACATCTTTATTGGAGTATAATTGCTTTACAGTGGTGTGTTAGTTTCAGCTTCACAACAAAATGAATCAGTTATACATATACATATGTTCCCATATCCCCTCCCTCTTGCGTCTCCCTCCCTCCCACCCTCCCTATCCCACCCCTCTAGGTGGTCACAAAGCACCGAGCTGATCTCCCTGCGCTATGCGGCTGCTTCCCACTAGCTATCCACCTTACGTTTGGTAGTGTAGCAATATTAATCTTTTTGCTGAATTAATTATAATTAGCAAATCAAAACAGGCTTCTCTGAAGTAGCTTTCTCACCTCCCAGACAAAGGCCTCCAGGAGCCCGTTTGTACCTCTATGAAACGGAGATAATAAGCACTTGCTTAAGAAATGTAGCAGACTGTTCTTTCATGCCTCATGGTACCTACTTAACCTACAATTTGTTGATTAAAATAAAATTAGAACTGACTTTTAAATAACAAAAATACTATATATAAAAACTTGTGGCATGCAGCTGAATTTGTCCTTAGAGAGATTTATAGCCTTAAATGCTATATTAGAAAAGAAAGGCGGAAAAATCAGCTAAGAATCTAGGAAAAACAAAGTAAGGCTCCCTTCCAATAGAAAGAAATAAATGAGCAAAAATTTTAAAACAAAACAAAGCCTATCATAGAAAATAGAAAACAAACATATAATAGGACCAACAATGCCAAAATTTGGGTCTTTGAAAATATAAATAAAATTGATAAGCCCTAGCAAGACTTATATAGAGAGCAAAAAAGGCATGTCATAAATTAAAAAGGAAACATCACTGCAGATCCTATAGATACCCAGCCTCATTCATGAACACATGAAAATTCCCAAACAAAATATTAGTAAACCAAAACCAGTAACATAAAAAGGAAAAACTTCATCAAGACCAAGTTGGGTCTATTGCAGGAAGGCTAGGTTGATTTAACATTTAAAGAACAATGTAATCCCCATATTAACACAAGAAAAATCAAAAGATGGAATAAAAATGTTGATAGAATCCAGTATTACTTCAAGATGTTTAAAAGCATCTTAGAAAACTGGGACTAGAGAGGAACTTCCTTAATCTAAGAAAGGGTGTCCATATCTAGCAAGGAAGCTATAGTAAACATCATTTTATAGTAGCTATGGATTGAAAGTTTGTGTTCCACTGAAAGTCATATGTTGAAGCCTAATCCCCACTGTGATGGTATCTGGAACTGGGGCCTTTGGAAGGTGATTAGGACATGAGGGTGACCCTCATGAATGGGAATCGTGCCCTTAGAGATGTGAAATAAAATTCATATTTTATGGCGAGACAAAAATTTAAACATAAAAAAAGTCCTCTGCCCTTTGGCCTCCTCTCTCCCCTCCACTGCGCACTGCGTACCTGCATTATGCATCGACCAAACCTCCCCCATCAGCAGAAATACCTGCTCAACCATAAAGAGCAATATTCTCCCAGCATCAACAAGACAACTCCTTAAAAGATAACATTCCTTCCTGATGTCGTAAGGGGCCACGAGGACACTTAGATCTGGATTTTGTAAACTGTCAATAATATGTCATTTAATGTAGAGACCTCTGTCTGAAAAAGCTTTTATAACTGTTTTGACTTCTAACAGATGGAACAGTTCTTGGAGCTTTCTGAGATGCTATTCCCGGGGTTATAATCCTCAATTTGGGTCCAATAAAGTTTTCCATTTCTTTCTTAGATCGACTGATTAACTTTGTCTACATGCCTGGCATAGCTGGCAGGATATCAGAGATACCCATAAGAGGGCACCTGGAGTCTACCCGGTACCAGCGCTCGGTACCAGCATGGGCCCATTGAGCCCCACAGACTTCTCGGTACTCCTCAGGTGTTCCAGTGAGTTCTCCTGATATCTGGATATTATTGTTTGAGTGAGGGTCCTGAAAATTTTATTTGAGCTGTTTTAATTAGGCCTTGGGCCTTACGGGGCACCAGTGCATTTCCTAGGCAGGACACAGAAGCTCTGGGCAAGAGGCCCAGGGAAACATAGGTGGCTGGGTTTTTGTTAAATTTGGCTTAAATTGAAAAAAATGAGTTGATATATGGTCTGAACAAAACTTTTCCTAGTGAAATGAGAGACTGAATTAGTCACCTCTGAAGAATAAGGAAGACTTACTACAACCATTAAATAAATACTGCTCGTCCGGGGGACGTGACAGAGGATGATAATCTAGTGCTCTGAGCACACATGGCAGTTTTAGACTGTCACAGGGAGAAACCAAGCCACATAAAAGAAGTCAAACTGACCCAAGGGTAACTCCCTGGGGAGCTAGACTCAGAGGCACAGTGTCCTCAGAAAGTTGTTCAAATGATATCTCATATCTCATAGCTGAATTAGGCTACCAAATTAATAGTGGGAATTGTGCCTCAATGGCCAAACAGGTCCCATGCAAACAGCCACCTATGGGAATACCAGCTGGGTTTATGTATGCTTGCAAGTGCTTAAATGGGAGCTAAAGGAAATTGGGCCCTGAAATGGCCAAGTTGGGGTTCTGCTGGCACTCCAAAACTATTTTGAGTGCACAGTTAAAGCCAGCAGTCTTCTGGATCTGTGCCTGCAGGGTCTACAGGAAACAACAGTGGTAAGTGTTTTTCTCTTTTCTAAAATTAGATTAGCAGGGAAAAATTTGTTAGGCTAGCTCCTTGGATCTTTTGAATTGGAGAAACTTCTAAATTGTTAAAATTTTAGAGAGCTCTTAAATGATTTCAGTTATTTTAAACTATTTTAATTGGTATGTGGAAGTCCCAAAGGCTTCAAAATTCCGAAACGTCCTCATTTAAAGATTCGTTGTATAAGGCTGATGAAAGATTAATG